GGCCCTGCGGCCTCTGGCTGGAGCGGAGCCCTGGGCTGGGAGTGCGCAGCGCCGCGGGAGCCAGGGCAGGTGAGCGCAGCAGAGCGCGCGGGGGACGCGGTGCCGGCTGAAGGGGGTGGCAAGGGCGAGTCCGGGCAGGAGCCCGCCCTCCGGGCTGCCGCGACCCGGCTGCTCTCGGCGCAGGGGACGCTCTCTTTCCCGCTCGCTGGAGGCAGAGGCTGACGCGCCCGGGGTCCGTCCCAGGTGCTCCCCGCCTTTTCACCAAACCCACTTAGGGGCGCCACCGATTTAGGCCGAGCCATTCACTGTGACTCCGTCACAGCTGCCTTGTGTTTTCCGGGCCTCAGCTTCCACCTGTGGATGATGGGGACGGCAGCTTCTACTTCACTGGACCGCCAGGGGAAATAAATGCAGAGCCGGGGACAGCCTGGAGCTTGGCCATAGCACTCCCAGGTAGCGAACAGGGCTGAGGCGGAGGGAGGGTCTCATTCCTTCCAAAGCTACCTGCTGACTGCCTCCTCTTGCCAGCCAGCCCCTGTGCTGGGTGCTGGAGAGGCCCTGTGAGCCCAGCCCCCAAGAGGCACCTAGTGGTTTGCAAAGTGCTTTGGCATCTGCTCTCCCGTGACCACCCTGCCAGGTGCACAGAGCAGTCAGCCTTATTTGGGTCCATTTCACAACCGTGGATACTGAGGTGCCATGAGGCTTTAAAGATCTTGCCCAGATGGTTACTCAAGGGCAGGTTCCAGCCTTGGTCACAGAAATCATTCCTCAGAGTAGAAAGGCAGCTCTGGTCCCATAAACCCTTCCCCTCAAAAGACATAGTCTCTGTAGTTGTCAGCATCTCTGTCCTGTGACCTCCACCAGCAACAACCTTGGTGCCCATCAGTCAGTCAGTCACTCAACAAACACTCGTTCTTGGGGACTCCCATGTAGTCGACCGCGGTTCGAGTCCCGGACCCGGTGGCTTAAACTCACATAGGGTGCATGTGCGTGCGTGCCCAAGATCCTGAGAGGAGAATGGAGGAGAAGGAATTGCGGCGTGACCATCCCCTCTGGGGCATGGTTTCTCACTTTCCGTCTCTCTGTCTCTCTCTGTCTATCCCTGTCTTTCTGCGGAGCACACACGCCCTATAGCAAAAAAAACACTTGTTCCTTCATGCAGCTAACGTACGCCATACGCCATGCACACTCAGGACAGACCTGTCTGTATCTGTAGAGACCTTGCACACAGAGGCCCTGGTACAGGTTGCTGCCGGTACAGCGATGCTGATGACCTGGCTTTGGTCCCACCTCATCCTCCACTGGCACTGGAGGTAGGGGATGGAATGGCAATGATGGTGACAGTGACCAATAGCCTGGTTCAAGTTAAGTCTACAGTGAGGAAGACAGGGTCCTCAGTGCCGACCTGGAGGCTGTAGGGGGCTTGGGCAGACCCTGGGGTACCAGCACCTTCTCTTTTGGGGTATTGGGGAGGACTGGAAGCAGCGGGTGTCAGGGCAGGGCAGACACAGAGCTTGGAATTGTGTGCAGGTTTCCAGAGCACAGAGCCCCTTTGGAATCCACAGGGATCCCTCTTGTCCTCTCCTCCCTTCTTTTTCCTCCTTCAGGAAGACCTCCCATCTCTCCAGTCAGAAAACAATCACCTCCCAGTCTGGCAGGGTTCCCCTGGGTATGATTTGATCTCACGTCCTCTGCTGCTAGGTGAGAACTGGGATTTTAAGGAACTGTGAGGAAGCTGGGAAGGCCTAGCATAGGCCTGTCATGCAGTGTGACCTTGGGCCTCGGGTCTTCAGCTCCGAAGTCCGAGGCTTGGCCGCCTGCTCTCTGACTCCGCAGGAACCAGCAGCCATCCTGGAAGTATTGGGTTCAGAGAGGGTCGAGTTCACTGGAAACTCAGAGGGTTCCTGATTTCCACCTGGAGCTCCCTCAGTGCTCGGGGTCTGATAATCGTTGTGACTGGAACACCTCTGGGTACTCTTTCTTTCCTTTCCCCACAGGTGGACGCAGCTCAGCAGAGGATGAAGCCCAATTCTGCAGGTGCCTCCCCGGAGGCCTGCAAAGCCTCAGGCCAGGCTGAGAAGAGCTGCCCTGTCTGCCAGGCCTGGGGAGGGGTCTCAGGTCCAGGGTCTGGTTTAGGGTCAGGGTCAGGGTTGGGACCAGGGCCTGGAGCCATTTCAGGGCCCAGGTTGGGACTTGGTACCGTTCCTGGGCCTAATGCTGTTCCAGGACCTGAGTCAGGGTCTGGTGCAGTTCTGGGACCTGGTGCCATTCCAAGGCCTGCACCAGGGCCCAGTGCTATTCTAGGACCTGGACCAGGACCTGGTGCTATTCCAGGGCCTGGGCCGGGGCCTGGTACTGTTCCAGGATCTGGTGCTGTTCCAGGGGTGAGGCCAGGGTCTGGTACTGTTTCTAAACCTGATGCTGTTCTAGAACGTGGACCAGGACCTGGTGCTATTGCAGGGTCTGGGCCAGAGCCTGGTACCGTTTCTGGACCAGATGTTCTGGGACCTAGTGCTATTTCTAAACCTGATGCTGTTCCAGGACGTGGGCCAGGACCTGGCACCATTTCTGGCCCAGATGTTGTTCTGGGACCTGGTGCCATTTCAGCACCTAGACAAGGGACTGGTACTATTATTTCTGGATCTGATTCTGTTCTGGGGCCCAGGTCCCTTCCAGGGCCTGGACCGGGACCTGGTGTTGTCCCAGCACCTAGGCCAGGGCCTGGTGCTATTTCTGGACCAGATGCTGTTCCAGGGCCCAATGCTGTTCCAGGGCCTGGACAAGGAGCTGCACCATTACCTGGGCTGGGGCCAGGACCTGGGCCAGAACAGGGATCTGGAACTGGGCCCAAACCCAGTGAGGCAGTGGCAACCCCAGCGCCAGCACCAGCACCACAGCAGAAGATTCAAGCCAAACCTACACAGGCACCTCAGCAGAAGGTTCTGGTGACTGGAGGAGGAGGCTACCTGGGCTTTAGCTTGGGTTCCAGTCTGGCCAAGGCTGGCACTTCTGTCACTCTTCTTGACCGCCGCAGACCCCAATGGGAACTGTCGCCTGGGACCGAGTTCATCCAGGTATGAGTACGAGAGTCACAGGGGGCTGGTGGTCGGGCCAGGGTCCGATGTGAATGCAGTGGGTGGAGTTTAGAGTGTAGGCTGTGGAGCTCCAGCTCTCGCCCCCCACCCCACCTCCCGTGTGGGTAGCTGGGGTCCCGGGGCACCTTATCTCTGAGCTGTGGTGTCCTCACCACAGAAAAGGGACAGTAATAACATAGACTTCCCCAGGGTCTCCTGTGGACTTGATGGAAACACCTAGCACCCCCTGGGATCTAGAGCTTGATGAGTGGTGATGCCCAGCGGGGTCAGAAAGTCCCACCAGCCTTTTCTCACCCTGCAGACGTTTGGCCTGGATGGCCAGGGCTGGGTCAGGGCCTAGGACCTGGCAAGGTGCAGAGTCAGTTCTTTTGTTTGCCTCAGACTAGAACCTTCCGTTCCATCTCTTCTCTGCTGCAGGCTGATGTCCGAGATGAAGAAGCCCTGTACCGTGCCTTTGAAGGGGTGGACTGTGTCTTCCACGTGGCCTCCTATGGAATGTCAGGTGCTGAGAAGGTGTGAGCCCCTCACATACAACACCTGGAGTTAGACAGAACGGGTTCAAGTCCCGGCTCTGCCCACCACCCGTTCATGCCCGTTATTCCTTATTCCAGGAAGGATTTGGGCTACTCCCAGCCCACATTCTGCATCTGTGAGACAGACACCAATCTGCCACTTTCTAGCTGTTTGACCTAGACAAGTCGGCTTAACCTCTCTGAGTCTCTTCCCTCATCTGGAAGTGAGGTTGTTACTACTTATGTCACAGTCTCTTCGCAGAGTAGTGTCATAGTGGATATCAAAACATACATAAACCTTTGACACAGAAATTACACTTATTTATGTATTTGCAACATTGATTTTAATAGCACAACAGAAATAATCTAAATGCTTATCAATTGGAGACTAGTTAAACAAATTGTGTTGTGGCCCTAGCAGATGGCATAGTGGTTAAGGTGCTAGCCTCCCACATGGCTAACCATGGTTCAAGTCCCAGACCCATCAGCTTGGAACTCATGCTGAATATGAGTGCATGTGTACCCAAAATCCTGAGAGGAGAGTGGAGGAGAAGGGATAGCAGTGTGGCCATCCCCCCAGGAGATGATTTCTTTCTGGCAAGCACATGTACCCTATAACAAAATTCTCACTTGAAACAAAACAAAACAAACTGTGTTGTAGCCACACAGCAAAATTCCATGTAGCCTTTCCAAATAATGAAGTGAGTCAGTATGTGCAGATATCAGGACAATGTCCAAGGTGCAAAACAGTGTTTGGTATCTGCCTCTTTGTTTTTGTTTGTTTTTTCAAAAAAAGAAAGGGACCAGGAGATGGCATCGCTGGACTCCCACATGGCTGACCATGGTTTGAGTGGCTTCAAAATCATGTGGGGCACGTGTGTGTGTGCCCCCATGTTCCAGGGAGGAGAATGTAGGAGAAGGGATTGTGGCATGGCCATCCATACCCCCTAGGAGGTGATTTCTCACTTTCCCTCTCACTGTCTCTGTCTCTCTCTCTCTGGAGAGTACACATGCCCTCAGACAAAAGTCTCTAAAAAGAAAAAAAAATCCACCTAAGGTGGACATTTGTTTATATACCCACAGATGAGTACGTGCTGATATTGATAAGCATAGGGGAGTTTGTCCCATAGCCCAGTGGTTCAGAGAGTCAGAGCCCATAGAACTGGCCACAGTTTGAATCCCAGCCCCAGGGGCTTGGAAAATACACTGAGTGTGTGTGTGGATATACGTATCCAAAATCCTGACAGGATGGAGAAATAGAGGAGAAGGGATTGCAGCTTGACCAGGGCCACAAGGGAATGCTTTCTCCTCCTCTTTCTCTCTCTGCTTCTATGAGGTCATTCTTTTCTATCTCCACTTATGAATGACAAATGTGGTATTTCTCTTTCTGTGCTTCATTTATTTTGCCTTACATAATGTCCTTCAGGGTCATCCATGTTACTTCAAATGACAGGATTTCATTGTTTTTAATGGCTAAATATTATTCCACTCTGTGTGTGTACACATATACATATCACATTTTCTTTATTCATTTGTTTGTTGATGGAAACTTACATTGATTCCATATCTTGGTTATTGTGACTAGTGCTGTAATAAACAGGAGAACGCTGGGCCCGGCAGGTGGCACGGTGGTTAAAGGCATTGGATTCCCACATGGTTGACTGTAGTTCGAGTCCCAGGTCTGGCAGCTTGCTTTCTTGCTTTCCCTTTCTCTCTCTGTTTCTCTTTGGTCCAATTAAAAATAATAATAATAACAGATGGAATTAAATAAATAATTCTTTTTTAAAAATGGGAGTGCTGGGACCAGCAGATGGCACAATGGCTAATGTCGCTGGATTCCCATGTAGTTGACTGCAGTTTGAGTCCTGGGCCTGGTGGCTTAAACTCACATCAGGTGTGTGTGCATGCGTGCCCAAGATCCCAAGAGGAGAATCGGCATAACCATCCCCCCCGGAGGGAGTAATATCTTGCTTTCTGTCTCTCTGTCTTTCTATGTCTTTCTGTACCCTGTAGAACATGTACCCTATAATAAAAAGCGTCTCAGAATAAAAATGGGAGTGCTGACATTTTATGACACACTCATTTCATTTCCTTTGATATATTGGAAAGAAAAGTCATGCTGCATTCTTGTATAGAAAAACACGTGACATTTCTTACGACCCAATATTATTGCCTACTGGTGGGACTGCTGAATTATGTAACAGTTCTGTTTAGTTTTCGAGGAGCCTCCATACAGTTTTCTGTACTGACTCTTCTAATTTACATTCCCACCAGCACTGTAAAAGAGTCTCTTTACCCACATCCTTTCTGGCATTTATTATTATCTTTTTGATCATATTAATATCTTTTTGATAATATTATTATCTTTTTGATACTCTAACCGGGGTGAAATGATGTCTCATTGTGATTTTGATTTGCATTCTCTAATGATTTGTGATGCTGAACATTTTTTCATATATTTGTTGGCCATTTGTAGGTCATCTTTTGAGAACTACTTATTCAGGTCATTTGCTTTTGCTCTTATTTATGTGTTTTCTGTCTTTTTGTTTGGAGGGGAGAGGTTTTTGTTATAGGGTGCATGTACTCGCCAAACAGACAGAGACAGAGAGACAGAAAGTGAGAAATCACCCCCCCCAGGGGGAACGGCCACACCACAATCCCTTCTCCTCCATTCTCCTCTCGGGATCTTGGGCATGCACGCACACGCACCTGGCGTGAGTTTAAGCCACCGGGTCCGGGACTCGAACCACAGTTGGCTACATGGGAGTTCAGTGACATAGCCATTACACTAACTGCTGGTCCCCTCTTATTTATGTTTTTTAAGAGAAATTTGTGCTATAGGGCACATGCACTTGCTGGGGAGGCAGAGAGAGACAGGGAGACAAAAAAATGAGAAATCATCCCCCAGGGGTTGGCCATGCCACAATCCCTTCTCCTCCGTTCTCTTCTCTGGATATTGGGCATACTTGCATACATGCCAAGCATGAGTTTTAAGCTGCCAGGTCTGAGACTCAAACTAGAGTTGACTGTGGTAGTCCAGCAACGTAACCATTGGGCCATCTGCTGGTCCCATTTGCCCATTTTTAAGTCAGTTTATTTAGATTTATTTTGCTGCTAAGTTATTTGAGTTCCTTATATATTCTGATTATGAATCCCTTGTTGGATGTATAGTTTACAAATATTTTTTCTCATTCTGTTGGTTATCTTTTCACTCTGTTAATTATTCTCTTTGCCATACAGAAGCTTTTTTAGTTTGATATAGTCTAATTTTTCTATCTTTTGGTGTCTGTGAATTTTGAGATTATGTTAAAAAGATTATATATAGACCTGTGTCATGAAGTTTTCCCCTATATTTTCTTTTAGTGTTTTCATAGTTTCATGTTTTATTTAAGTCTTTAATCCATTTTGAGTTAATTTTTATATATTGTGAGATAGGGTTCTAGTTTCATTCTACTGCATATCAATATCCAGTTTTCCCAGCACCATTTATTGAAGAGACTTTCTTCCCCCCCAAATATTTTGACTTTTGTCAAAAATTATCCAACTAAATACACATGGATTTATTTCTGAGTTCTCCATTCTATTCCATTAGCCTATCCACCTGATTTTCTTTGCCAGTACCATGTCATTTTGGTTACTGTAGCTCTGTAGTATATTTTGAAACCCAGTAATGTGATGATTCTAGCTTCATTGTTTTGGCTCAGGATTGCTTTGGCTATTTGGAGTCTTTGTGATGTCATACAAATTTACATTTTTTTCCACTTTTGTGAAGAATGCCATTGGTATCTTAATAGGTATTACATTGAATCTCTAGATTGCTTTCAGTAGTATGAGCATTTTAACAATATTGATTCTTTCAATCCATGAACATGGGATTTTTTTTTCTTTTTCTTTTCTTTGTATCTTCTTTGATTTCTGCCTAAAGTGTTTTACTTTTTGAGAGATTTTTGCTATAGGGCGCATGCACTCACCAGAGAGACAGAGAGACAAAAAGTGAGAAAACACCTTCCAGGGAGGATGGCCATGCTGCAATCCCTTTTACTCTATTCTGCTCTTAAAATTTTAGGTATGCATGCACATGCACCCGGCATGAGTTTTAAGCCACTGGGTCTGGGCCTCCAACTGCAGTCAACTAAGCAAAAGTTCAGCAATATAACCATTATATCATCTACTGGTCCCTCTGCCATCAGTGCTTTACATTTGTTTATTATAGAGCTCTTTCACGCCCTTGGTTAAATTTGTTCCTAGATATTTTATTTTCTTTGTAGCTATTATAAGTGGAATTTTTTTAAAATTTCTTTTTCAGCTATTTGATTATTGGTGTATAAAAACACTATTGATTTTTGTATTTTAATTTGTATCCTGCAACTTTACTGAATTTATCATTTCTAAAAAAAATTGTGTTGGAGTCTTTAGGGTTTCTTTCTTTCTTTTTTTTTTTTCCTGGAGAGAGATTTTTGCTATAGATATGTGTGCTTGCCAGAGAAACAGAGAGAGAGAAAGCAAGAAATCTCCCTCTGTGGGGCGCCAGAGAAACAGAGAGACAGAAAGCAAGAAATCACCCTCTGTGTGTGTGTGTGGGTGGAGGGGGGTCCACACTGCAGTCCCTTTTCCTCCATTCTCTTGTCAGGATCTTGGGTGCATGCACACACACACACACACACACACACACACACACACACACATACATACATGGCATGAATTTCAAGCCACTGGATCTGGGACTTGAACCACAGTTGACATAGAAGTCCAGCAATGTAATCGTTATACCATCTGTTATTTCCTAGGATCTTCTTTTCTTTTTTCTTTTTTTCCAAGAGATTTTTTACCTAGGATCTTCTTTTCTTTTTTCTTTTTTTCAAGAGATTTTTTATATAGGACACGTGCATTCACTGGAGAGACAGAGACAAAAAGTGAGAAATCATCCAGAGGGGTAACTATTGCCACAATCCCTTATTTTCCCATCTCCTTTGGGCATGCACACACACACACACACACACACACACACACACACACACACACTCGACGTGAATTTTAAGCCACCAGGTCCAGGACTCATACTGTGGCCAACTGCATGGGAGTCCAGCGACGTAACCGTTATGCTATCTGCTGCTTCCTAGGGTTTTCTATATTAAGATCACGTCCTCTACAAACAAGGACAATTTGACTTCGTCCCTGAGGACATTTAATGTAGACAAGGCTAATGTTTTGTAGGTTAGGTTTGTTAAATGCATTTCAACTTGTAATAGTTTCAACCTAATGAGGAATTCATCAAGATGTAACTCCTTCAAAAGTCAAGATCATCTGTATGCTTTTTACTGTTTGTATCATTTCTAACCTTGAGCTATACTACCTGCTTAAACAAACAACCACACCAAGAATATAGTTTAAAATAAATGTAGGCCCCATCTCCCAGTGTTTAAATGAGATTAAATGAGATCAAGGATCATAAAGCTCTCACGTTGTCCCTGGTACATAAGAAGCTCTCGCTGCAGACCAGTTGTTTTTGTTTTTCACACCCAGCCCCTCGCCAGGGCATGTTTGGTATTATTATGTCCATCTTCCAGAAAAGAAAACTGAGGCTGAAAGCAGGAAAATAATCTAACTTGTTTTGAGTCCCTCTTCTGGGCCAAGTACTGCACCAGGTCTTCCCATGAGACTTATTCACTCCAGCCAATCTCCCAAAGGGTCAGCCTCACTTTACAGATGAGGGAATTGAAGGCCAGATGGTCATCCAGGGAGGTGGTGGCACAGCTGGACACCCTACTGCCTGTGGATCTCGGGATCCCTGCCCTGAGCTGGACATTGTGCCACCCCCATCTTGCGTGACCCCAGGCCCAGCCTTCTAGCTCAGTGAAGGCCTGAGACAGCACCGTGACTTTCTCACTTCCTTTCTTTTAGCTGCAAAAAGAGCAGATTGAGTCTATAAATGTCGGAGGCACCAAACTAGTGATTGATGGTAGGCGCTCGGAGCTAAGTGTGACCTGCTGTGTGTTTCCGCCTTCTCTCCTCTATCCTGCCACAGGCCCAGCTCCTGGGGGCAGGGTTTGGGGATGGAGGTGGGACCCTCCAGCCCTCCCTTGCCTACTCCAGTAGAGGGCCTGTGGGCAGCACATCCTTCTTGTCCTGTGGACCCACCCAGGGCTGGTGTGCACTGTGTCAGCATGGCCTCTGAGTCTGGGGACACAGGGAGCCTAGCTGGCACTCAGGGCTTAGGGTTGGGAGTAGGAAAAGTTGCTGAAGCACCAAAAGTGAAGACCCATTTCTGGGCTTTCTGGATATGTCTGGCCTTGTCCTGTATCCCGTTTTCCTCTCTGATTACAGAGTGGGGTTTTTTTTGTTTTTGTTTTTGTTTTCTTTTTCCCTGTGCCCTCATTGAGTTAGACTTTCTTTCGATCTGGCCC